TGCAACTCGGTGTTATTTAATCAAAATCACGGCAGTACACCACAGCTACAAGATTCTGTGAATAATGAGCCACAAAAGGCACTGATTCGAATAACAAAAAAATAAGCAAGAAAGGAATATCAGAAAGGACAGAGAATATCAGAGGGAAACGTTACACCAAATCATCCTTGCCCTCTACTACACCCTGACACCCTCTAAATACCTGTATTGGCACGAGCCTTCCACGTGAGTTTGGGAACCCTTAGGCTGCGGCGAAGGCCTTGGGCTTCACCTATTTTCAGCCCAGATGTTTCCATGTTTGCGGTCGCTTCAGAATTGGCCATTACATTGCCACTCCTATCGAAAGTGACTTTGGCTGCAAGGTCGAATGTGGGATAATCACGTAGCAGTTGGTCCATATCTTCCCATGTAGGTATAGCATCACCATCCTAGCGAATTAATAATTGAGTGACCCAGGTATCGCCTATCTTTACACGATAGACATCCAAGACATCAATAGGTTGTAACAGCAAACCATCAGTAGAAGGAAAAGATGGTAATGGCATAACAGAGGAAGACCCTTCTTCGAATTTCTTAAGTAAAGAGACGTGGAACACAGGAAGAATCTAAGCAAAAGATGGTAAGGCCAACTTATAAGCAACTGGCCCAACACGTTGGAGAATCTCAAAGGGTCCAAACCAACGAGGCTAATTTTTTAGATCTGTTAAGCTTCAAAGATGACTGTCGATAAGGTTGCAATTTAACCCAAACTCTATCTCTTACAGCAAATTCAACCTCTCTTCTATGTTTATCAGTTGCTCGTTTCATTCTAGCTTGGGCTTGATCGAGATGCTGCTTAAGTTTTGCTGACATATCATCTCACAATGCTAGCTGACATTGCACCTCCCATGGTGTTCCATCAGTATTCTCCACCTTAAATAAGGATGGCGGATCACGGCCATATAATGCTTTAAATGGTGACATACCAATAGAAGTATGAAAAGCATTGTTATATGAAAATTCAGCCCAGGGTAAAAATTCTAGCCATGATTTAGGATTATCTAAAACAAAGCAACAGAGATGCACTTCAAGACACCGATTCTGCGCCTCCGATTGCTCGTCTGTCTGCGGGTGGTATGATGAACTCATACGTAGCTGGTTTCCTTGCGCCTTAAAGAGATGTTGCCAAAAATTGCTAGTGAAAACAGGATCTCTATCAGACACAATCGCTAATAGCATCCCATGAAGCTTAACAATAATGGAAATAAACGCTGCTGTCACTTAAATTGCCATGAATGAAGCTTTTAATGGATTGAAATGAGCAAATTTGGAGAGGCAGTCTACAATTACCATAATGACAGAACAACTTTTGACCACCAGCAGTCCTGTAATAAAATCCATAGCAACTTCATCCCATACCGGTGAAGGAATAGGAAGTGGGCATAGTAACCCCGCAGGATGTAAACTAGATTACCTAACCCTGGCAAGGTACATAAGTTGCAATATACCTGCGAATATCTTGTCGCATTTTGGGCCAAAAGAAATATGTGGCTACTCGGGCAAAAGTGCGCGAGAACCCAGCATGACCCCCTATTGGTGAAGAATGTAACTCCTGCAATATCACATCTATCAACTAAGTGGCATTAGATGGCAAAACCACCTTGTCTTTCCAGAATAATAGCCCATTTTGAACACTATATCCAGGCATCAAAGAAGGATTAACTTCAAATTGTTGAATTCGTTGTTGAATCTCAGGGGAGTCACTAACTGTTTGTAATAATTGTTGAAAAGAGTCAGGACTAACAACTGACATGGCAATGAAGGACACACGCGAAAGGACATAAGCAGCTACATTAGATTGACTCGAACGAAATTCAATAGAAAAATCATACCCAAGAAGCTTAGGTAAACATTCTTGTTGTTCAGGAGTCTGACATGAATTTGAAGAAAGATGCCGCAAGCTATGATGATCTGTTCTAATGATAAAATGACGCCCATATAAATAATGACAGAACTTCCTTACTGCCTGTGTAATTGCTGTCAGTTCTCTCATATAGGCAGACTTGGCTTGGGCTCGAGGTGATAATTTTTTTAAGAAGGCTATGGGATGCGCCTCTTGACTCAATACGACCCTAATACCGCATCTAGAGGCGTCGGTCTCTAATACAAAGGTCTTCTGAAAATTTGGCAGAGATAAAACAGGGGCAGTTGATAAAGCTTTCTTTAAGGCATCAAAAGTCGTTTGGGCTTCGGTGGTCCAATTAAACGCATCACGCCGCGGTAATTGAGTAAGTGGACCTGTGATTTGGACATAATGGTGAATAAAATGCCTATAGTGCCCTGTGAGGCCCAAAAATGCTCTCAATTGTGACATTGTTTTGGGTTCGGGCCACTTAGTAACAGCTTTAATCTTTCGGCCATCCGCCTCAACACCCTGGGTTGAAACAAAATGACCCAAATACTCAATCTTGGACTGTCCAAAAATACACTTTGAAAGCTTGTCAAAGAATTTGTGCTCAATAAGCAATGACAAAGTCTGTTCAAGGTGTTCCATATGTAAATCCCAGGACCTACTGTAAACGAGAACATCATCAAAGAAAACTAAGATGAATTTTCTCAAGAATGGCCAAAATATATTGTTGATGAGTGCTTGAAAAGTTGCCAGTGTATTTGTTAAACGGAATGGCACAACAATCCATTCATAATGATCGTGATGCGTACAGAATACCGTTTTAAAACAATCTGAAGGTTACACCAGAATTTGATCAAGCTTAGAAAATTATTGGGAATGATATAGTTCATCTAACAATTCATCCACAGTGGGTATTGGCATGCGTCTTTAACAGTAACTACATTGAGAGCTCAATAATCTATACAAAATCGCCGAGTTCCATCCTTCTTCTTAACCAAGATAATAGGGGCAGAAAAAGGGCTTTGACTTGGTTGAATCAACCCATCACACAGCATCCCATCAACTTGGCGTTTTATTTCAGACTTCTGAACGATCGAATATCTATACAGTCTGCTTTCATAGGTGAAGTATTACTAATGAGAGGTATCTGATGATCATGAACTCTAAAAGGTGGTAATCTGTGAGGAACCTGAAAGACAGTGTCGAATCGCTGCAGCAGAGCTCGCAATTCATGCGGCAAGCTCCATTGGACATGATGTTGGCGTCTCGGATTCGACAGTGGTGGTGAGCACAAAAAACTCAGCAATGGCATTTGTAGAAGACATTCGACGTAAATGTTATAACTGAACCAGTTAAGGTGAGGCCAAATGATACCCCTGTAATGCCACAAAGCTATCATTAATCACACATTTCAGAGTAGCTGTGTGATAATTTACAATGTGGTCACCCAAAGTGGCCAACCAACCCGAGCCAAGAACCAAGTTAGATCCTACGATGGGAAGCACGTATGCTCCTATATTTAAGGGTTGGCCCTGTATAGAAACCGGAATGTGACTCATACCCTTCCCCAGTCATACAGATTCTATCAACAATTAGAACGCGGAGTGGACATTAAAGTTGCTCAATAGGCAATGTTAAGTGTTGTACTATGCAAGAATGAATGAAATTATTCGAGGCTCCTCCATCTAATAAGATTTGCGTTGTCTTGCCATTAATGCTACCTGAGAAACGTATAGTGCAACGACCGCCACTGCCCTAAAAAGTCTGAAGGGACAGATGGTGTAAAGTGGCCGTGTCAGCCTCTTCTTTAACAGGAGTTTCAGCGTCATCTGGTAAGTTCATAGTAAATTCTGTATCCTCATCATTTGTAATCAACATTAACAATTGCTTATTAAGACATTTATGGTTCCACGTAAATTTTTCGTTGCAATTATAACAGAGACCCTTCTCTCTACATAATTACATTTCAGCTAGAGATATTTATCGGATTGGTCGTTGGAGTTTAGAGGTTGGAGTGGCGAGTAGTGGGGGATTCGTCGTTTTGGGTGTAGACCCAACAAACGATGAGCTGGCAAGTTTGGTATGAGCAGTAGACGAATTGGGTGTGATTGATTTCGTACCTGATACCCCTAATGCAGGAGAAGACCATGAGGCACAAGTCGTCATAATGAACATGGTATCTTTCTCAGCAAACAGTCAAGCTAAACAGCAGTTCGTACCAAATTATCAAGCTCCTTTGCTAAAACCTCCCTTCGCAATTCAGGTTTGAGATCGCTAATGAAACAATCTAATAAGGCGGCGTCATAGGCCCCTTCCACTCGATTAGCTAAGGCCATAAATTCCTGAAAATATAAGTCAAAAGTACCTATTTGCACCAGCTTAAAAATTTAGCTGGGACATATTCAAATTTAGAAGGACCAAAATGATCCTGTAAAGGACCAATCATGGATTTGCCGAGTTTTCTCCATCATCTGAAACTAAGGAATAACTGGGCCATCGAAGTGAATAGATGAAATAACTAAATGATGCGCATAAGAAGTTTCATAATAATGAAAAAATTGCTCAGCTTTAAAAATCCAGTTAAGAGGTCGAAACTATCAAACCGAGGAAAATCCAGCTTCACTTGTCATTGTTAGAGTGGGTGAATAGGTGGAGGTTGTCCAGACGATTGCCCCACGCTACACAACGACGTCCGTGGTGACTCTAAAAGTTGATCGAAGCGTTGATTAAAAGATTCCATTTGCACTGTGAAAGAGCGCATATTCATTTCCAACCTTTCCAGGCGAGAATCTGTAAAGGCATTGTGCTCTCTTTCTTGTTGATCTCGCTCATTAATACGTTCAAAGAGATGTTGGAGCTCATTGGCTTGGATTTGAAGTCTCGTGCCCTCTGCCATGAATGGGTGCAGGAGGAGAACAAGAGCACCAAATGTTATATTCGTATAGTAATAACAAAAATAATGATGGAAATACGCAGCTCAGTATTATTTAATCACAATCACAGCAGTACACCACAGCTACAAGATTCTGTGAATAATGAGCTGCAAAAGGTACTGATACGAATAATGGAAAAACAAGCAAGAAAGGAATATCAGAAAGGACAGAGAGTTTCAGAGGGAAAAGTTACACCAAATCATCCTTGCCTTCTCCTACGCTTTGACATCCTCTAAACGCCCGTATTGGTCCTAGCCTTCCCCATGGGTTTGGGAACCCTTAGGCTGCGACGAAATCCTTGGGCTTCACCTATTTTTAGCCCAGATGTTTCCATGCTTGTGGTCGCTTTAGAATTGGCCTTGACCATGACAGATACAGAGAAAATTAACATGAGCTCTGTGCAAGGATGGCATGCATGAGTGAGTTATAGTACACAATCTATATCCTTGTCATGCACTCTGCTTTTGTTAATAACCATGCACCAGAAGATCACATCTCCGCATGACTTACAAGGGCGATATGATTTACTTGCGAGATATATTATCTTGTGCAAACAGCTCTTGTGCAAAAAGCTCCTCTTTTGTGATTGGAGAGTATTTGATAGAACAAAATATAGGATATATCACATCAACCAAGACAATCGATGATGAACACATATGCTGCCATGTTGCTGAACCACCTTAATTCCTATTTGTTTTTTCATGGAAACACTATATTGAGCTGCTCTTCCACCTGTATGGAGAAACATGATTCAAGAAAATTAAGGTAAAAAAATCTAGATAACAAGAATAAGGATAGCATAGCACATTATACCACATATAACTCTTTAAAGAGATGTAACATACAAAACAAAACCAAAAGGAAAAATACTTCTAGGCAACATATTCAAACTTGATCAAATCACAGACAATGATTTAATACATCAAGAATTAGGTGTGGATTGAATATTTAGTTAAGTACACAGAAAATAATTCTAAGGTTGTAAAAGAAAACGACAAAAATTAAATCACGCCCCTGCCTCATGTTTCTTACGCTCCTAAACATTTTTGAATCCTTTTCCACTCTCTGTTTCCCCTATTTTTCTAAGAAGTTCAACATGTATTTTTGCGTCCACTACATGAAAAGATGAAAAAGTCAAGCAATACTCGAAGAAATTGTGTTTCATTGTTTCTAATCAAATAAGTACAAAATTTGACTCAGTTAAGATGAATCAATAGTAGGATCCAAAATTAACAGTAGAATAGAATGAATAATTGAAATAAAAAAAAATGCATACATGCATGTTTAACAAACTTTTTCCTCTGTAACAAGATTGGGGTTCTTTCTCTTCCAAAATGGCTAGCTCCTTGAGCTGCTCCTCAACATTCATGAAATGCCTATTGTTGCATAAAAGCGTCTCTATTGGGTATTTTTCCATCTCATGTAATGCAGAATTCCATTCATCCATAGTTTTACCACATAAGTAGGAGCCAATCACTTCCAAAGCAAATGGAATGCCACTTGAATAATGTAGTGCACGTCTCGAAACGTCAAAGTAACCAACCTCCAACATGTAATTCTTAAAGTTACTCCAGCTTAACAAGTCACGAGCTTCTAAAGTTTTTAATTTCTCAACATCATAAATTGTTTGAATCCCATGGCTATATAACAACTGTATATTCCTTGCGGTGATGATTTCTCTACTTCCACAACCATACCAATCACATCTTCCAACAAGTTCTTGTAATTGCTCTGATTCATCAACATCATCAAGAATTATAAGAATCTTTTTCTGTTGTGCTATTGAACTATGGAAATCACTCAATGTAAAATACTTTCCCCTGACTGTCATGGAGCGATTTCTCTATAGGACGTGACGAACCATTGTTGTGAGGAAGTTGGCTAGCGTCAGAAAGAAACCATAAATCTTTAAATTCATGAGCAATGAAGTTACATTGACCTCTTGCAATGGTTGATTTACCTATTCCATGAGTTCCACAAATTTCTACCACTTTCACTTCCTCTTTAGATTGAACCTCTAGAAGTTTGACTACTCTATTCATTTGGTAACGAACTCCAGCTGGATAATTGGCGACATGTAAAGGAAACCCATCAATTCTTCTGCCATCTTCATAAATGATCCCTCTAATAAGCTCATAAGACAAGAAGAAACGATCCTTTAACAGTTCAATTGCAATCCTAAACAATTTATAAGAAACTCATTTTTAGTCAAACAAATAAAATTATGATATGCCAATTTTAGAAATAAAAGTTATGATGCCCTTCACGTTCCTCACAAGAAGAAATAAGCTCATTCTTAACATAAATAATTAAAAATGGAATTGTTGTAAATCACAAAAAAGTGAATTAGTATTAACTTTGATTACAGTTATTAAAAATTATTAAATACAGGAAAAATGAAACAACCAGCTTATAATTTTCACTTTCTTTAATCTTCATTTCAACATTTAAGCATTTACTGGGATTCGGTTCGAGCACACAAATGGAGATATATAATATTTATTATATTATCATTATTTAATCACAATAAATTTTTATTATAAAGTATAAAAAAAATGAAAGATTAATTTGCAAAATCATTTTTGTTATTTTCATTTTAAAAACAAGTCAAAAATAGGGGGTGCGCTATGTGAGTAGTTATGCATAGATACGAATATGAAAGAAATGCCCAAATATAAATAAGTAAACTGTAGAAGGATGACGAATTACTTGGGATCGAAAGGCAAGCCTTCTAATTTAGATGCTTCGGATAAAGCCCACCTCCCTCTTCTCACCGTTTCTTGGGTGGCGTTGCATCTCTTCTCAAGCCAATCAAATGATTCTGTTTGACATCGCAGCTCGGATGGATGCACATCATAAAATATGGGAAGCACCAATCGTCCTTCTTCTTTGTTGGACCACTCAAGAATGGTTGCAACTTCATCCAGTTAAGATGGTGAGCACACATGCCCTTTCGATAAAACTACGATAGCCATCCTTGATTTTTCCACGCTTCCGCATACATGGAATCCCAGTTCAGACAGACGAAGGGCAAGACTCGACACAAAATAATATAAAGATGAATCATCGTTATAAAGACCAAGACCAACACCAAGACCAAGACGCACATAAGAAGTCCATGTGGGAACGAAAGAGGGACGGCCCTACTGCTCCATGTGTCCTGAAATTTACAGGCGAAGGGTGTCTGCTGCCCAATCTCTGCTGCCTTGCCTGATGCGCCTAATATCATCCCTTCAATTGATCCACTGGGTAGCAACATTTCATTAATTGAAATGACGTCGTTTTGAAGGAGCAAATCTTGACCGCTTATCCACTGAACAAATCCAAGTCGTTGATCTCTTTTAATGTTTAACTCATCGATTTTTGTGACCAGCAATGTTAGACTCACCGATTCAGCCATTTCTCGTTCCACGTTACCTTTCGGCAACGGCTTCATCCCCAGCTTTCTGACTTCGAACGGTAGAGTACAAGTTTAACGAAGATGCAGATCTTTCCGTCCGACAACTCTAGCTTCCTCACGTCTTCCTCCATTATGCCCACTGGCTTTCACGACCAGATTCCTATTTTAAGATTCGACGAGTTGCCCCAAGTCGAAGCTTGAATTGCTTTTTTGTAACAATTACCAATGATGACTCACGTGAGACGGGGATGTGAATTTTGTTGATTATTCTTCTTTGTACGTTGTCTGACTTCTTCCTGTATTTCTCCTTCTTCTTCCTCCTGAATTTTGAGTTTCTTTCCCTTCTTGGTTTTGTATTCACTGATATTTAGTTGTGCCTAACATTCATTTGTACTTCAACAGGAAGCACGGTTAAAGTTGGGATTTTACTCAAGCTAGGAAGACATGGAATATTTCAGCTTTTTGAGTGAAATTGAATGTGCTGCGAAGACTTGGCAAGTTAGTCTTATTTGGCATGGTTTATAAATTGTCATTGAAGAGAAGAAAAATAATTTTTTCCCCTTCCACGCTGACCTGAACACATCTATAATCTATTTTATGACTTTAACTTCCATTTGATATTGAGCATTTATAACTTAAATCATACGTGGTTGGAATTTTAGTGCTTCCCTATACATTTGACTTGGGTATATTTTGTCTTATTAACATGTATATGTCTTCTTTACTGATTATATGAAAAACAAGTAAGTTCTATTGTTGTGTTTATGCAGGCTATGCTGGTTATGATAGCAGAGATTCACCAAATGAAAATTTGAAATTTCATTGAATGAACAAACTCTACATTGAATATTTGTCTGAATTGCAGAGTGAAAATCACAGTACATTGGCAAAATATACAATTGCTAGTTATGTTATGTTGTTGCCGAATAATTTGCAGAGCCGGAATGAATCAAAAATACTGAAGGAGCTACCTTATACTGTCAAAATGACTGGACTAAAATGAAACAAAAATACTGAAGTAGCTACCTTGTACTGGCTAAATGATTGCACCAAAATGTCTTCTTGAACCAAAATGAAGCTAAAGCTGGAGTAGTGGCCAAGATCATGGGATATATCTTCACGTGTGACTAATGGTGCTAGATTGAGAACCTATGTTAGAGACAGCATTGTTAAAGTTTTACAAATGTACTGCTTGTAAATAATTGAATTGAAAGTTCTAGTGTATTAGAACACATGTATTGTACCAAATTTTAAATAAAATTATACCATGTTCTAATGCACCCAATGAGCCAAGAAATTTGGTTTTTCTTTTCTTTTTCTGCCTTTGTGAAGCTAAGTTAGAGGTATCTTGTGGCACTTGAACATCCTATAATAAAAGCAAGTAAATATTGGTGATGATCAAAGTTAAAAAGAAGACGATAGGAAATAACAAAAATTATGTTTTACTTCAAGTTTTTGTGAGGATTGGATATTTTTTTCTTTTATTGCTTTGCTTCTTAATGACTAAGTTAGACTTTCCTTGTGACGTTTTAGCAACCTACAGTAAAAAATAATTACTATTGATCAAATTTAAAATAAAAATGACATATATGATAAAATGATATTTTTACCTTGGGTTTATATTTAGGTTGCACTTTTCTTTTTTTATTAGATTGATTATCAACCCAAGTCATATATCACCTTTTATGCTTCTTCCCCTCTTTCTTTTTCAAAACTGCAGTTATAGCACACTTTGTACAAATTTTGGAGGATGTATCATCTTCAGAAGATTCACGCATGGCAAGAATATCACTAACTTTTTTATTAAGTTCTATGATCCCTTGTTGCACAACATCAAAAGTCTCTTGACATGTTGAAGCCTCAGATACTAACCTTACAAACATAGGACATAATTGCTTATAATGCATTGAACTTTCCATCTTAGGATCAACTTGAATCTCATTACTTAAAATATATTGAACAACTCCACATCTTGCTTCCCTTGTCCACCTTCTCATTATATATTGTTTTGGAAGTTCATCAACTTCTAAGTGTGTATATATCCTCAATGCATGACAACAAATTGTTCCATATTGCTGAAACTTCATACAACTACAATTGGTTAAACCACTAGTAGTATAATAAGAAACTCTCCACTCTCCTGGTTTAGTAATCATTCTAGCCACATATTGCTTTACATCACCTTCTTCATCTCTTTCTTTTATACGGCATGCACAACTATAATCCCACTCACATTGAAAGACATCAAGCATAGTAGGAGTGTAGATTTGAGAGACTTGTTGGAGCATCGGTGCACTTCGCACAATTAATCTAGGCAGCTTCTGACATGTGTCAAAGTCATGTCGTAACTCAGTATATCGCTTATCATTAACTACCAATTCAAAGATCTTGAAGAATGTATTGATATCAAGTTCAGGCTTCATGCAATCCTTCAAAGATGAATTAATGCTCTCACTTAGTTGAGTGCTCCGCATACCAATTGTGAAGGCATATTTCATATAACAAGCTACCCATTTTTCTTTTACCTCATATATGGAGCACAACTAAGAGTTTTCTTCCAAATTGTAAGTCAACTGTAGCTTCCTGTAAGCATCCTCAAACTCAAATTCTTCATGGTAGTCATACAAGCACTTGTTAAGATCAGTCAAGAAATGGGAGCCATCTTTCATTAAGTTTCCTAAATGTTTCACACCATTTCTATATAAATGGAAGACGCACAAGCCATGTTTAACCTCAGGCATTACATCCTCTAATGCCCTAGCCATTGCTTGATCTTGATTAGTAAAGAAAGTACGTGGTTGCTTTTGCTTGTGAGCCTGCAAGAATGTTTCAAAAATCCATTTAAATGACTCTATTGTCTCATCATACAACAACGCAACACCAAATATTACCCTTGTTCTATAATGGTTAAAGCCTGAAAAAATAGCAAGGGGTCTGTTTTGACGATTAGTGCAATAAGTTGTATCAAATGAAACAACATCACCAAAACAAGCATAATCTATTAGCATTTGAGGATCAACCCAAAACACATTATTATTTGCTCATCAAAATCCATCTGATAAGCATGGAAAAAAAGATGGATTCTCTACCACTTATAGTTGAAAATATTTTAATAAAGATCCAGCTTCTCCATACTTCATTTCTCATTGCTTCTTAGACCTTAAATAACTTTTGATATCCTCCCTTTTAAACCCCAAATTAGCTCTACCTCTAACTTGCTTACTCATCAAATTAAATGTAGCTTTTTGTTGAAGCCCAACATCATTTGTAGTTTCTATTTCACTGCCTTGAGCTGCACCTATTTTATGTTGAGATCGTAAAAGATGCACTGAATTTGGAGGATGCAAAGAATGATTATGCTCACTAACAAATTCACTAACTCTCCATTTTCCATCCACAAGTTTTACAATCATATTTGCTCTACAATCAGTTCTAGTCTCTGCATGAGTATGTTTCATTTTATAATCTCGTTTGTCTGGCCTTCTCACTCCTTCCTTACTACAAACATATCTATAACAAGTAATGATAGACTTGTCTCTCTTACTATAGGTGAAATTATGCTTCCTAACATTGAAGCCCATTTTACCTCCATAATTGATCCAAAATTGATATGCATCATCTAAACTTTCAAACTCAAGGCCTATTCTGGGTGTAAATTCAAAATCCATCCAATTAAATCTACATAAAAAATCAAAATTCATGGTTAAAAAAAGAATAAAGTTCAAAAAACATATTGCCATAAAGTTACATATCCAAACATTTAGCCAAAACACCCAATTAAGTAGGAAAAAGTTTAACAGGAATACAGTAGGAGAGAATGAAAAGAAAAATGACTTTTAAATTATAAAGAAAATGTGTCTTCCATACATAAACCACTTTTGAAAATTAACTAAAGCGTGAGTTTGATTATGAATTTTTTTTAATATGCTTTAAGAAAGATAGATGTTGTTTCCTTCTTAAAAACCTTGGTATAGCACATAGGAATCATACAAAAAATTATTTTTTATCTATCTTCCACGTGAAGCAATGACCAACCTCAAACCATGAGCATTAGAATAGCTTAGTTCTTCATAGCATTCCTTATAAGCTATATCTAAGGAAACGCGGATAAAGGAGGCGTAAAAAATGTAGACTTAAGAAACTTAACTAAATAGAACACCAACATGATAAATATAACCTATAGTAAATATTGAAATGAGAATACAATCAGCATCATATTTTTAATTCTAACAATGTACAGAGCAGTCTCAAGCATCTCTTGAAGTTTTTGCCCCTTTCAACATTCTCAATAAAAACTTTGAAAGGTAGGTTTTTTATCATATTATAGCCTTTTTGCATCATTTTCACACTAATAATCATAAAAAAAAGCATCAAAAATCATGCTTGATAAGATCCACATACCTATGCAGAAGTTTCCCGTGCTTGAGACTCTGTTTCTGTGATCAGCTTCTCTGCCAATGTGATAAGGAAGATGGTGGTTTTAAATTAAGCCATGAATGGCTAGAATTAAGGGCTGAA